TTTTTTTTAAGCAAACGTTGTTCCACTACTGTACTAAGTACTTTCCATACGTGAGTTCCTCTAATCATCACAACAACCTTAGATAAATATCATCCCCATTTTAAGAATAAGGGAACTGAAGCACAGAAAGGCAAAGTAACCTGCCTAAGGTCACACAGCTAGTAAGTGGAGGGCTGGAACTTGAATCTAAGCAGATTGACCCCAGAGAGGCTATTCCCAGCCACTCACATCATGTCAGTGCACTGAGTCACAACTGGGTAGGCCGGCCGTGAGGGACAGCACGGTCTGCTGAGCGGACCAGGCCTCCCAAGGCAACGCTTTTGGTTTGTTTTCCCCTTTCTACGACTATCCCTACACAACCTCATCAATTTACCTAAGGAACTTTAGAAACAAACCAATCCCTCAAGATCCTAGAACTTTTGGGTCCAGGTTTAAAAAGCATCTAAGAGGCCCCTGCACAGACTTAGGAAACAGAGCAAGGGGCCCAGCATGGGTGGTGGCCCAGAAGGTGGCTCCCAGAGAGCTTCCACTCCATGCCAAGCAGAGGGTCTCCCGAGCAGTGGCCATGCCTGCTTTTACATCTGGGACACCAGCTTGGGGCACAAAGTCAGGAGCGACAGGGATGCGGCCAGTCCTGGGAGCGGGGCTTCACGTGACCCTCTACGGTGAGGTGGCCAAGGCTGGATGGACCTCGGCAGGGACCCCAGGGCGATACTGGGAGCTTCACGGCATCTCCAAAGGAGCTGGGGTTTGGGCCTAATGTGAATGTAAACCATATTTATAAAGCCAGAGCCTCAGGACTCCTGGCAAATGTAGTCATCTTCAGGCCGACAGTCCCTGCCTCTGTGAGTGTGGGAAGCTGAAGCTGAATCACAGGCCAGTCTGCAGGCTGCCCTCAGAACGCACAGCCCCCGAGACGGGGCAAGAGACGAAGACAGGAAGCACTTGACTGAATTGGTATTCCCATTTTTCATAAGAAACATCCAACTTAATAAAAAATAGCCACACTTTATTGACGATAATAGCTACCCTTTCTTTATTTCCTTACCATGTGCCAGGAAACCACTTTATCTCTGTTCCTCACAGCAACTCTGCAAGGCAGGAACTATCACTTTCATTTTAGAGGAAAATGAGGCTCAGAAAAGTCACATAATTAGCTCAAGGTCACACAGCTAGCAAATGTTAGTCAAAGTTCTAGCCCAGGTCTGTTTGCCTCCAAAATTCATGAGTTTTCCACTACGGCTTTCAATTTTTCACATTACCATCAGCCTCCAAAGTTACCAGAACCAACTGCCTAAATACACACACGCATTTTTCAATTTAACTTAAGCAGGACACTGAGATCCTGAATGCTGCCATGCGCCCATCTCTCTGTGTATGCCAGGATCCTCAAAATCCAGGAGCCGAATCACAGGTGCTAGAATGAGCCAGTTTCCAAGAGAACACATAGTCAAGGCCCCCGTCATTTCAAAAGGTGACAAGTCCAGGGTCTCAGGGCTGGGCAGAGGCCAAGCTGGGATTCGGCCCCAGGCGTGCCGGCCCCCGGGCAGTGTCCCTCCCACTGCTCCACGGCTCTGCTTCCGGGGCCAGGGCTGGTGGTGACGAACTCAATGCTGGGCGCTGGGACTACAGAGCTGAAAAGGTACCTCCCTGGTCTTGAAAGGATCCTAGAAGCTGGCGGACGTGCTGAGACAGTCCAAAGATAATTGAAGTGCGTGGCAGGAGGTGGGAAACGGCCCAGGAGAACAGAGTTCTATGGATATTAAGAGGGATGAATCACGTCCAGCTGGGGGCAACAGGGAACGACGCCACGGGGAGAAGTGGGGAGGAAATGAACCCACGTTCTGGGCATATTTGCAGGAAGGTGACTCACACCAGTCATTCTGCATCAACAACCCATGAGGCAGGCAGAGTACCCATTCTACAGACAAGGTGGAGAGACAGGAGGCGACCTGCCCAAGATCACACAGTTCACAGGGTGGTCATGTGAATTGCTTCATCTGCCTCCAAAGCCCATGTTCTCTCCCCTACAACAAACTTCGAATGCTGTTCTGTGGAGCCCCGGTGGGTTGGGAGGTCAGGAGGAGGCAGGTAGGTGGGGTTCAAGCCCCCACCCCAAGTTCAACCCGAGAGGCTCTGCTTTGCATATATATTTATAGACTGGGGTTCTACATAAGATTCCAGAAAAAAATCTCTGCTGCTAACAAAATCGAGTGTGAAGCCCTGTACTGCCATGTGCTGCCTGGCAGGTTGCTGGGTCAGCCCTGGGAGTTGGGGTAGGTAGAGAAGGCATGTGATCCACGCAGCGGCAGTGACAGACAATGGCTAAGCCAGCAGGCTCCATGCACTTCCCTCACTCTGGAGTGACACTGCCTGCGTTCACAGTCAGGCTCTCCACCAGCCTAGCTGGGAGACCTTGGGCGAGCCCTCCTAAGCCTTAGCTTCCTCAAGTTCAAAACGGGGATCATATTGGTCCTTACTTCGTAGGGCTGTGGAGAGGATCACGTACTCAAAGATATGGAGAGCATACAGCACGGGGCCTGGCACTTAGCACATGGCACTCTTATTAAGTCGTTGAAAACAGCGAGGCCAGTCATAGGAGGTAACACAGCAAAAAAAGAAATATCATGAAACTGTAGGAGGAATTCTTAGGGAAACTAAGAAATCCTCATTGCCTCCGAAGAGTCGCTGTGGTTCTGAGCTCTGCCTTGCATTCTCCTGGCCTCGATAAACATGGGTTGTGAATCAATGGGACATACACCTGAAAGACAAGGGAGGTTCTGGTGCCTCCATCTGCTGAGTGGTGGCTGTGTCCCCATTGCTACTTGTCAGCTGGTTCAGCAAGAAGCTCAATGGAGTCTGGGCTTTGAGGTCAGGAACCCCAAACCCCCAAACTAATTTACTGCCACTGCTCAGAGTAGGTGGCCACAAAAACCTCAGCTCTCCCCCTAGGCTCAACTTGGCTCTTGCACCAAACGGCCTAGGGCAGAGGGAGGCGCACGTATGAGCTGAGCCAGGCCCTGGAGGCCTCCTTTGTGGCTGGATGGGACCTTGCCTTGGCCAGAATTCTGCAGGGCACAGTGGGGTCCCGGGTCCCTTTCAGGTTCCTTCCATCAAAGACTCTGCCAGTGAATTAAGTTCCCAGGGAAAGTTTTGATGGCTTACGAGATTTTCGTCTGTCTCGTTTGCTGCTGTATCCCAGTGCCCAGAACAGCAGCACATCCCAGTGAATGAACAAACGGCGAGCATATTCAGGGTGACCTAGCCTCTGCATCTTCATGAGACAGACAGAAGCAACTGGCCACGGAGCTTCCACGGCCATTCACTGACCAACCAGCTGTGTGGGATCTTCTTGCCACTGCTCTGCTTTCGATTTCCCCACCTGTCACCTAGGCTGGTAGCACCACCACCAGGCCCCTAACAGTTTCGCTTTGAGAGGTTTGACCTTTTCTCTCTTCCCGGTGGAAGGGAGGGTCATTTGCTACAGAGCGCTGAGCAAGACGGTCAGCTCGTGCCGAGCACACGCCCTGCTCCTTTCATGCTCACTCTGCCGGAGACAGAAATGCTAGAACTAGAAGTGCCCACGGAACTCACTCCTCGTGGAAGAGACAAGGAAACCAAAGCCCGGAGACAGTAAGTGAGCAGCCCAAGGTCACAGAGAAGGGCAAGGAGGGCAGGAGACAGGCCTCCAGGCAGAACCCTTTATCTAGCACTTTCTAGGGGCCGCTCTGCCTGTGCAGGTCAGAAAGCCTTGGGAAGTGCCCCTGAAGCCTGAATTCTCTTCCTACAGATTATGAACACAAAATACACCCACAGTCTATACACAGATACAGTTTTATATCTGTGTAGATGTGTATATATCATATATATCATATACACATCTACATATTCATAAATGATATTAGGATATATATAAACTATTCTATAGTCCCAAATACACTTCCTGAAGAACTTAGATCAGCTCGACTCCCTTTATTTTATACTTATTACAGAATAGTGATAACTGATTGGGTGGGGGAAAATTAGGAATTCTGAGCACGAGAAGGAGGAAACGTGTAATTTGCAAAAGCATACTGGATATTATAATTGCTTTCATTTTTTTGGGCACAATATTTAATGTGCTTTGAAATTTAACAGTAAAGAAGGGCATTCAGATTATATGTTCGTCAAAAGTGAGTAGGGCTTAAATAAAAAGATTGTGAAATCCTATTCTAGAACTCACAGCATATCACAGCTTTGGAAATGGTCTGGTTTTGAGATAAGGAAACTTCCATCCAGAAAGGTTAAGTCACTGCCTGTCTGAGGTCAACAGCTATTTATTCTTTCCCGAGGGGAGCGGGCCACGCAGCCTCTCTCTGTTCTATGTCCATGGCATCTTCATTGAAGGGGAGGCCAGGGTTTGCTGTTGACCAGCTGAAGGGAATTTACTGCACCAAGGATATAATGATACGGAGGGAGAGCGAGTTCCCAAACACATCTGGATTTTTCTAACAAGGAGGATTCCTGGAAAAAGAGAAGCTGCACCTGAGGCTTTACTACAAGGCATTTGCTTGAGGCAGCACCGCGCTGACCCCATTCTGGGCTGCCCTTGGCCCTCGCCCCTCCTTTGTGTACATCAGGAAGACTCCGTCTGGCCCTCTCTTTCAGGGAGTCAAAATGTCAGGCTGCAGGAGCGATGCCTCAAGCCACTGCTCTCCCTCCCCTTTGTCACCCGTGGAGGCACCGAAATGTTGGGTGGATGGTTTCAGTCTGGCTGCATCTATCTAAACAAGTTGTAGGTTTTCTCTCATCTGTTCCGACAGGACTGAGCATTTTGGCAGAAGGACTACAGCTCCTAAATGAGTCACCCTGTGGGCAGAGGCAGAGCCCCAAGAAGAATTTACCCACGGCCTCGGGCTAACACAGACACAGGGCCAGACCCTGGCGGGGAGCCAAGGGGAGGCAACTGTCCCTAGAGCGGTGGCCGCAAACGTGTCCGCCGGGTGCCGGAGTTCACTTACCGCAGTGCGACTGGAACACCTGTGGCTTGACGACCTGATTACAGGCACTGCACACTACGAGATAGAAGTCGTCATGTGCTGGATAATGGCCAAATAAGTGCATATCTGTGGGGGAAATGAAAACAGGTTTCTTTGAAAAAGCAATTAAGTCTCAGAAGGTGTGCAGTTTCTTCCCAGAATTTCCTCAAGGATAGTTCTTCAAACAAGACACGCGGAAAGGCAGTCATCTTTACTGAAGGGACACAGGGTGTCATAACGCAGCTCCCCGACGCCCAGAGAAGCAGCCGCCTCCAAGGAGCCCTCCTCACTCCGCCCTCGAGACGGCTGCTCCTACTGCGGGCGGAGTCAGCGGGGCTGGGGCTGCCTGAGGCGCAGGCCCTGGGTCACCCTGTCCTGAGAGACAGACGACTGTGAGCTGGGACCCACCGAGGCTCTAGTTATTTTAGGATGGGAGGAGCACTCCCAAACCCACTGCAACTTAAGCCGAGGTCTCCCAGGTGAGTGAGGGCCGAGGAGGCCTGGGGAGGGAGGAGGAATCATCCTCGCCTCAGCGGTCACCTGCGTCCCCATCACCTGAGGGAGATGCCAATGTAAAGGAAGCGTGCAGATGAGCGGCTCGTTTGCTGTCATCCTTAACCATTCTTCCTTTGGGAAATATTTACCAAGTGCCCAAGTGTGCCAGGCCCTGTGCTAGGGGCCGGGGTAACCAGTGAACGAGAATGAGGGCCCTGCTCTCCTGGAAGTCACGGTGCCAGAAGAAAGAAACGTTAAACAGGTAATCACACAAGTGTCATTCAGTCGTAATTGTGGTACATACTGAGGAGCAGACAGACACAGGGACCCTGAGAGTGTGTGGACCAAACCTTGTCTGAGGCGTTGAAGAGGCTGCCCTGAGGAGGGGGCGTTTCAGCTGAGACCTCGGGATGAGTGGGGGTTGGATAAACAAAGAGCCAGGGGAGGGAGAGGAAAGTTCCAGGTCAGCCAAGGAAGGAGGTTCTGTGTGTTGGAGGAACCTCTTGGCGGGAACAGAACAACAAGGGGAGATCCCAGAAGACGAAAGCCTTCTGGGCCAAGGTAAGAACTTTGAATGTGATTTTAAGAACAATGGGAAGCTACTGAAGGTTTTTAAGCCAAGAAGTGACATGATCAGATGTACACCGTTAAAAGATGAGCTATGTGGCCTATATCTAAGAGATATGAACATATATGTCTACACAAAAAATTGTACATGCATGTTCACAGTAGCATTATTCATAATAGCCCTAAAGTGGAAACAACCCACATATCCATTAACTGCTGAATGGATAAACAAAATATGGTATAACCAGACAATGGAATACTATTCAGCCATGAAAAATAATGAAGTACTGATACCTGCTGCAACACGGGTGAACCTTGAAAACATTAGGCTAAGTGAAGGAGCCAGACATAAAAGGCCACATAGTGTATGATTCCATTTATATGAAATGTCCAGAATAGGCAAAGCTATAGAGACAGAAAGTAGATTAGTGCTTGCTTTGGGCTGGGGGGCCTGGAGGGAATTGGTGGGTGACTGCGAAAGGGTGCAGGGGTTCTTTTTGGGGTAATAAAGATGTTCTAAGATTGACAGTGGTGATGGTTGCACAATGCTGTGAATATACTACAAACTCCACTGAATTGTACACTTTAAAAGGGTGAATTGTGTAATGTGTGAATTATATCTCAGTAAAGCTGTGGGGGTGCGGTGGGGGAGATCAGTTTTGAGGAACGGGTGGTCGCATCTCCTTGTGCACCACAGGGTAGAGGCAGAGCCCTGAGGGCACCTCCACCTGCCTCTTCTTAGCGGACCGGCTCTGAGAGCAGGGTGCTCACAACCACTGACAGGGTTGACAGAGGAATTAAAAGGAATTAAAAATTCATCATATGCGTGAAAATGCTTTCTGTCTACACCTCCTGAACTTCCTCTCCCCAATCTCCTTCCCCCACATTTTCTAGACTCGACCTGTGTCCTTAACGAAAACCACCAAACACAGGACGGTTCCCCTAGCTGCAGTGCTGGGCCGCAGGGAAGAGCTGAGTTCCTCTTGCTGCGGGGACGGCTCACTTATAACCCAGCTGTACCGGAGGCACCGCGGGTCTGCGCTCTCTGCTCCGAGCAGCCCTGCTGTGGAGAGGGAAGAGGCATCGACACGCTGTCAGCAGGCCAGGACCTGAGACCCCCGCTGCCCCGGGGGAAGGCCTGTGCTGGAAGGGTGGGACTGGCTCTCACTGCAGCATCCTCCTTAGGTGTCAGGCGCAGGAGGACCCCACCGTCCTCGCCATCCTCGCAGGGTGGGGACGCAGGCCCACCGCATTTCTAATCTGTCTAATCTGTCGGTGGCCCCGGGCGTGGCCTGTTATTTCCCCTCTCTAGGACTCGCCTCTATTTCCACTTCTGACTAAGCCTTGTCACCGGAGGGGAGCGTTATTAGTCAGCGCCTGGTGGGTGGCGAGGCTGTGGAGAGAGAGAGAACCCAGCTGTGACAAGAGTCCTGATGTGAGGAGGCCTGGGCTGGGCCCACCTACAGTGTTCGGGACCCTCGGTCAGAGCCTCCCGGTCCTCAACTGCGGATACCACTCCTGTTCTACTTTTTATTTACTTTTATAATATATATCCTTATTTTTAATAACAAAAGTGATCCATGTTCTTTAAAGATACATTTGAAAAATACAGAAAAGCCAGAAGAAATAAAAAAAAATTACTAGCACCTTTATTAACACTTTGCCTCTCATTGAGATTCAGTCACATTTTATATCCAGGAACATGTGAAACCAGGAGCTGGCGAGGGCTAAGACATTTATTTATTCAACGAGCATTTACCAAGCTGCCTTACATCCTTTCTGCAATAGATCAAGCTATAAAGAAAGAAAAGAAATTCATTAATTAAAGAAGTTTTTAAAAAACAAGCAGCAACAAAAATTTCTTGAGCACCTACTCTGTGCCAGAAGCTGTGCCAGGCGGGGAGGCAGAGACGGCAGGGTGTGGGCAATGTGGCTCTGCAGCTTTGCCGTGCAAGCCTGATGACCTGTTGGAGGCCTGTCAGACTCCATCTGATGTCCCACTGCTGTATCCTGCAGAAATCTGCAGAGCACCCCCCCCCCCCCCCCCCCACATATCTCTTCAGTCACGAGTTGAAGGTTGCGCCCAGGCTAGTCAGAGACTGGCCACCTGGGGGGTGTTCCACTCCGGGCCCTTCACTCCACCGGACTCGCCCTCGCTTCCTCTAGGGCAGCTTCAACCTTGCACATGTCTGCTGAGCATGTCTCCTGTGAAAAGTGAGAGGACTGGCTTGCCTGCTTGATTATTCCTCAGTGATCTGACCTTAGAATCTCCTCTACAGGCTGCCCAGGTTCCGAGAGCCCGGCAGATGGGGAGCAAGATAAGGGCACCTGGCTTCTCAGAAGACCACCACGGCACGTGGCCAGGCCAACACAGTCAGTGCGCTGTCTGCTCAGAGATGATGGGGGAAAGACAGGGAGAAGTGAAAACTAGTACGTCCGGCACAATGCTAGGTTGTCCATGAATTAATTCTCTCTCTATTTACCATCCAAATAAAACACTCAGTGCACAGTTAAAAATAAAAACATTGGCGTGTTGAAGTGGGCTTGCACTAGCGTGTGAGAGCCAACTGTGCGTGTCTCTTCCCAGCTCCATGTGCAGTGACATCACGGTGGTAGCTGGAAATCAGCCATGTGGGAGTATTTACACCACGGACATGGGTGAACACTACAAATCAGGTGTTTTCTTTCGGAGAGCCCCGATTGTTAAACATTTATCAGTGCACCACTGAATAAAGATGGGGAAAAAGGGAAAAGTGAAACCACTTGTAATGATACCGCCTAGGGATGACCACCATGGCCATGTTAACATACACCCTTCTAGACCTTATTATGTGCTGTCAGTATCTTAGTTAACCCTCATAATGAACCTACGAAGTCGCCATCATCTCCACTTTCCAGGCAAGGACACAAAGGTGAAGGAACTTGCCTGAGATCCCGCGGCAGCGATTGGTAAAGTGGGATGAGGTTCCAGGACACTCTGACTCTAGAGCCAATGCTCCCTCCTCAGCAAAAGGCTGCTTCTTTCACAACAGAGCAAGATCCCATTTGGCAGATGAAGAAACCAGTTTGGATGGGTTGCCTGGATGACTGACGGGCTGTCGCAAGGCTCCAAGGGAGCCGCTGGCATGGGCGCAGGCCTGGGGTCAGAAGGAGTTTAGAGCACAGTGCTCATTGTCGTGCCACCTGAGGGAAGGCCCAACCTTTCTGAGTGTCAGTTTCCATCCATGAAATGGAGCCAACAGTTCCTGCCTCATGGGGCTGCTGTGACGGCTTGTAAAAGCTGCCCGGCCTTGTACTTTCTTCCACCAGGGATTTGGGAGGGAGTGTGGAGAAAGCTTCAAGCGAGGTCATCTCCCCTGTTTTTCAAAACTAACTAGTTCTGTCTCCAGTGGGAGAGTCCGTGCTCCAGGCAACACATTCTTTGACTCTCCCTCACGACCACCCTGGGAAGCATGGGGGTCCCTCTGACCTGCAGAATTCCCTGTGTGTGTGCATGTGCACATTAGTGCACGCGTGTGGACAGACGAGGGCTGGGAGCCATTGGGAGGGCTCTCTCTCTAGGCTGTGGTTGGATCCCGAGAAAATGTGCACAAAGATGATGAGACTTTGTCCAGTTGCAAACACAGTGGTCGACCATCTCCCAAACAGACTAAGCCAAACCTGTCTTTTTGCCCCATTTTACCCCTGCAAATGGATCAACTATAGGGTGCCAGCACCACCATGCCATTATCACAGAGGCAACCTCAGGCATCCTCCTTGCCAGATCACAGGCAGGGAGGGAGCAAGCTCTACCAGCTCCATTTTGCAGATGGGGGAAATAGAGGTATACTTACTCTAGATGAGTATTTTTCGGTTTTTGACCCCAACTCACTATACACATATACATATCTATCTATCCATCTATCCATCCATCCACCCACCCATCCATCTATCCATCCATCATCTATCCTTGGAACATGTATGTTACACTCTGATATGTTCTATTCTGTTCTGTTCTACTCACTTTTTGTTTTACTCTATTCTAT